AGTGTTCTTTGCGTTCCTTTTTTTATAAGGCCGGGTCCAAACCCCACAACATTGCCTTCCCCCCCCCCCCCCCCCCCCCCTTCAACATTGTTGAACGTTACATGTTGCGTCCGTTTGCACACCCTGTTGCGTGTTGGTGGGAGTTGTTGCGCAAAGTTTGAAACTGGTCAAACTTTTGAGTCAACATCTCCCAACATTTCTTTAGTTCCGTGATCGTCGAAGCGTAGCGCAGCAATGTTGGATCCGTTTGCACCGTTCTTCCAACATTGTTGCGGCCACGCACGCGTATTACACATTGTCTCTAAGGTCTTAAGGGTTGTATCCTTTCCACGATGAAATACAGGTCCCAACATTATTATCCTTGTTAGGAAATATCTTCTGCGGCCTTGTATTATTTGCAGTGTTTATTCCATTTTTTGTTAAGGCGGTGGTATCACTTGCTTTCGTGCCGTTTTCCAGGCTCTCCCTAGGCATCTCACAAGACTTGGCGTTAATCAAGTAGTTTTGTTGGCTTGCTATCAATACATTGTTATTTTTTATTCATAAATACCAACTCAGCTACGCATTGCGCGTTAAGTTTGCATTCCCGTTAATATGCGTAAACAAATCCCAAGCAGGTAGCCTTATTGTTGGTCGACACATCTGGAAGCTTGTTGTCACCAAGCAACGTACTAGACCAAAATTTTAATTTCGTCCATATAACTTGGCGTCCTTAGCGACGAGGAAAGTGGAGATTAGTTCCATATACAAACGTTAGTGAAGCAGATCACCGTAGTTTCAGTACGCAGAACAACAAACGCTTGTCAAGATGATAGTCATCGAGGCATTTTTTATTGGATCTCTGGTGATATCCACTGTTTTGAATGTTTACCTTGTTAGACGATTTTGTACAGCAAAAGGTTCTTCTAAGGACAAGCAACTAGGAGCCTTCGGGGAGAGAATCGACAAAATTCCTGCCCAGTAGCGACCTCACTAAATGGAAGCCTGTATCGTTGATCGCGCTTGTAAAATCAGTGGAGAGTTTTTCAAAACAGTGGAGTGTTTATAACAATCCAAAATTAAATCAAATGAACAACGAGTCTCGATAAACTGAAACGGACTGAACAGTCTGCATTTGTTTTTGGGCCTGTTATTTTCCGAAGCGGTACATTAAGAGATGCTAATGTTTAACATCAAGTTCTGAACAGCACTGCCATGGGAACTAAAGTACTGAAGCAGCTGGTACGCTGCAAACCAGCTTTACTTGCTTCAAGGACAATGGAAATTCAGCAACCTTCAGTTGTTAGCAAGGGCCAGGGAAAAAGTAATTTTTATTATTCACAAAAAATACATGGAGTAGCCTGCTCTTGGGCTTGATTAGTATGCATGATGTGGATGAATAGACGTTTAACTCTTGTGACGATATTATTAACTTCAGTGATTTTCCCCATCCATATTTGCGTGCACGGCCTATTTTTAACAAGTTATCAGCAAGTCCAGTCCAGTCCATGTATTAGATGACGAAGATGAGTAAATAAATGAAATTAATTTGTAAAGAGAATTAAAAGTATACGAAACACCAGGTTTACATTTACGGAAATTTAGCAGTGTGTTAAATTTTCCCAAACAAACCGAACATCTTGGAAGGTATTTGAAGAACAAAATTTCTAGCGGAAAGCGGCAAATGTTATNATTTTCCCAAACAAACCGAACATCTTGGAAGGTATTTGAAGAACAAAATTTCTAGCGGAAAGCGGCAAATGTTATGTGTGAACACGGCAAACGAATCAGATTCGGAGTCTCTTTAAATAAAAGCAAATTGCAAATTGGTACGGTGCCAATATTGAAAGGAATTTGCAAGCCATACTCGAACCTTTTCCTCCTTGAAATTAGTAAAAGAAAATCGTTACTTGAGGAAAACCAAACTTTTGAGGAGAAAGGCAAAATTATTAAAACTTATGGTTTAATACCCAGAAATATAGACTCTTTGTTACAAAGCAAAAGCAAAGAATATCAACGGAACAATTTAAGATTTTACGGTGCACGTGACAGTTGCTCCTCCCCTCTTGGTCAAAGAATTCATATTTAAGGTTTGTACGCATGGTGGTCTATTGTTCATTGTTAAATTGCAAAAGTCCTGCGGACATCAAAACCGATTTTGACGAGGAAAATCATTCGAAAAGCCCCGGTTAGTGGCGTCGTCAGTTGAAGAGGAAGGGTTTCCTGCAGCTGCATCACGCTACATTATATTACTTGAAGAATTTCGACGCCAAGCGAAAATGGTGCTCTGTGCGTTAATTTTCATTGGAGCTTTTGCGGCTTTCGCGGTACTGGAAGTATACCTTTTTAACAGATTCTGTTCAGGGTACGTTATCAAATCTCACCCAGAGGAAGATGGCTTGTACGCCTGAGAAAAGAGAAGTCAGTTTTCTAGGACGAGATGACAGAATAGTCCGTGCGTCTTACATGATATAATTATGACAGATTCTGAACGTGAACTGTTACTAATTTGGGACTCGTTATTGCATGAGTTTGTATGGATAATTCACAATAACTTAAACAAACTGACAACCGTGAACGATAACTGAAATATTTAACGGTATCTAGGGCAAGAATTGATAACTGCACCTCAAACCTGTAGACTAAATAGCAAGACGTGCAGAAATGTGCAAGGTTTGTGTTGTTGTACACCAAGTGAATCGTGCATCAATAGTTCCGCATAGCTTTTCATAATGAAGTCTTAAAACTGCGGTACTGAGGAAATTTTCAGCTTTATTTATACTAGCAAGATAAATTTACTACACCTGCGTCAGAGAAATTACATGCTCAAAGTTTGTAAAAACGTTTTGTCCACGATAAGATAACTTACGATTGTCTTATAAATACATAGTAGTGTTGGGTTGTTTTCAAAAGACGCAGAGGACAGAAAAGAAGCATTTTAGTGTTGAACGTCTTCATTATAAACACATGAAATATCAAACGAATCGATTATGACATCCCTGATTTCATGCGTACATTTCTCTTGATACCTTCTCTGTCTAATCATGAAAGGCAAGGTTGATCATTACTTGCATTTAGCCTAACGCTGAATGCATCATGCTCCTTGATACGATACTTTAGTTTGAAAGTATCACATAAAAAAATGAGCTTCTGCTGGCAAAAACACAAATCTTGCAATTTTAATTTCAGTTAACCCCTGGCAAGGAGGAGTTTAGGAGCTTTCGCAAGACGTTTTAGGGGTAAGGCTAACCACTTTCAACTCGGCGTCTCGGTTGAATTCCTTCTCTAGTTGTTAGCCGCCTTCGTTCTCGGTCGTCAGATTTTTTTTTTCTGTCCATTACACCAGTTGTGGGAAACGCTCTGATTCTGACTGCTCTTTATAAAAAACCTGCAGCAGTTCCGGGCCTCACAATTGCTAATCTCAAAGATTAATAATTATTCGTATTTTTGTGCAGTCCAGGGAATTTAAAATTCTGAAATGGAGCGTTAAACGACATAAGGCACGTTATCTGGGAATGTCACCTGCTGAAACGTTCTACTGAGGCAGATCGTGTTGCATAGCCATTTCAGATGGGCGGGGCCTCTAGGAACAGCTAGAGAGGCCGGATTAAATCTTTCCGATACCCCCCGAAAAAAAATATAAATAGTTTCAATCCTCACACGTCTAGTATTGCAATTGGCTGGTTTCAAAGGCAGTAACTGGTTTTGCGTTTGGACAGCTGTCAACGCGAGACTGATCAATGTAACTATCATTGTGAAGGGTGTCCGGAGACGATACACTTTGTACACGAACAAATATCCTCCTTCTGTGCAGAACGGTACAAATGAACGGATTTGTGGGAACATAGTCTAAACTGAGGTGTTAAAATGACAGTTGACCCCACCCGTTTTAGGGGCAGAATTCTGGATCTGAAGCCTGTATGACTGGTGGTCTATTGTTAACAAATTGAACAGGTCATGTTGATATCCAATTACCGATTTAGGCTCTCGTAACGTCAAGGGAATCTATTCAAGAAAACTCAGTTGCCAAAATTTAACAAGAAGTGGCATCAGCTAGCGGAACAAGATTCGGTGGAGTGTAATTACTTACGCAGACAAGAGATTCACGGGCTAATAACGGCTTGACACCAAGAAAATGGTCTTCTGTGAGATATTCTTCATCGGAACCCTTGCAGCATTCACGTTACTGGAAGTGTACCTTTTTAGAAGGTTCTGTTTGGCAAGAGGTCCTATTTCAAAAAGCGAACACGCTTACAGGGTTCCTGGAGGATACTACGTTGTCAGATATTACCCAGATGAAAACGGCATGTACCACTAAGAATCTTTTTCCCTCAAAGACTAAACAGACTGACGGACTTCAACAAGGGAGACAAAAACTATTGTGACAAGTGCATCTTACCATGAAATTGAAGACAAACTAACAGTGCACATTAGCTGTTGAACATGAACTGAGCCTAGACTTTGGGAGTGGTAGTATCTATTTTATGTGGAACGGTTATATTCCAAATACAAAAATCAAACAGAGAAACTGATAACCACATTGTAATAACTGAAATATTCAATGTTGTTAGGTAGAACCATGTAGGACATTTGTCAGTTCCTAAGTATGCGTGCATGTACGCGTGCGGTGTCGGTCTGGTTGTAGACTACTGTGTTTATGTCTGTCATGATCGACGCAGTTGCTAGCTTTATATTAGAGATTATATTAGAGAAAATAATAACTATATCTTCAGTAATAAGAAAGCAATGAAATTCATGAAGTTTGTAAAGACTTTCTATCAAGAATGTTGTATCAGTAAGTTGTTATTATAGTTTAGTGACCGATGTCTATTGGGGCATGTTTGGTTGTTTTTATTGGGCATAAAGATCAGAATAAACAGCATTGGTTACGCTTGCAAAAAAAAAAGATGGTCATCAACATGTTAGTCTTATATCCAGAAGCCCGTAAAGAAAAACGCACGAAACATAGTAATGACATTTTCCAATTCAATGTGAGACCTAATGCGGTTACATTGAAATCAGGAGTGCGTCACTTCGTACGCGGTCTGCCCAATATCATTCACTGACTATTAACGTACTTTAAGGTTGATCATCCCTAAAATTCAGCCTAGCTGCTGAAGAATGATCATGCATCTCTGGGTAAAAAATTTAAAAATACGTGGTTTGTTGTAAATACAAAAATAAACATCTCCTCGTTGATGAATAGTCCCAACGTTATTACTTAGTCATTATTCTGATATATTTTTCGTGAATATAATAGAAGCTATCTTCACTGAAATTTTTAACGAATTCACGGCAAAGAATTCAACTCGAGATCTTCATCTACTCGCGAATAGGTGGAGATTCAAAATTCGGAAATGAAGCCTTGCACGACATAACGCAAGATTTCTGGAGATGTTCATGGTAAATACACAAGCCACCTGCAGCAAGACTGTTTACTTTCGTTTTAAGTTCATTTTAAGTATTAAGGCTGAAAGACGATTCGTCGCTACAGCGTACTGTTGAGAACTAAGTGAATCTGCATTTTTTATAGATATGCACGTATGCTATAAAATACCTTGTTCACCAAAGTTTTTAATCTTTTTAGTTTATATTTTTTCATAACAGAAAACTGTCAACAACATCAGTAGGCTTTGCCAAGTTTAATATAACGAGTAGAATTTTGCTGATTAAATATTTCTTTGTGTGTGACTAACAAAGATGAAAATTAGTGACCAAAAATGAATTTATCAGAATGTTTTCCTTGAACGCTAGTCACATTTGAAATGACAGTGTACTCGTCAATATTTTTTATCCTTAACTTTCATGGGTGAATTTAGAACGGCATATTTTAAATTGAAAATCGCAAAATAATATCACTAAATAAACAAGATTTGAAATGATCGACATTCTTTAACATAACGCTCTCTGATTGGAGGTTATTGTTACCACGCCCTCGACACGCCGCCGGCCTTACAAAGGGCGCCCTGCAAGCAAGAAAAGTCCCTTTTCCGTCCTGACCGATGGCCTATATGGAGAGGCCCGGCCCGAAGGGGTACCTTTTTCAGGCTTCAGGTATACGAAAGCGAACGGATCTCACTTGTTAAAGTATATGGATTAAAGCAGGATATAGGGAAATTTGTCATTTCCGTCGGTAAAAAATTAAAAACCTCCAAAAAGGGAACAGAAAACATATGCATTTTATGGCTGTGAAAAAGTCAAGAAAACGTTCTGGTTTTGTAATTTACTCATATTTTAAGACAGTGAATTTACAGTAGTTAAAAGGGATGCAAAAGTTCTAAACTAGGTAAATAAAAGAGGTACCATTTGTCAATGAAAGGTATACGCAAGGAGCAGCTTTTCTTTCAAAAATGGTATAAAAAGGGTAAGGTTTGGACCTTGAGACGGAGCCTGGGACCAAAACGGACTATGAATAAATAAAAAATAAACTATGAAAAAATAACAAAATTCAAATAATGACACTTTCTTTGTTATTTCCTCCAAGGTTCGGTTTCTAGATTACTGATAATAAATCTCTCCATGTGAAAGATCTTACGATTTCCGACTCGTCAAAACAAAGAATTTGCCAACGCCGAGATCCAAAAATTTCAAAACTGATAAAACATTATAATATGCATGTCTCCGCTCAGTTGAAAGTTATTATGCAGTCGTGACTCGATTACCACACCTCGCGACTGTAATGAACAGGGACGATAAAGCTGGGGGGAGGGGGTTGGGGTGGTGCGCAGGGCATTCCGAAAACATGAATACTTGGTACAAGGAGCGATCCTATCCACTTCAAGTCACAAGTCAGCCCACTTCCTTCCAACACCTGGAGAAATTTTCCGCCGTCCCTAGCGTGTAATGTTTCATTTTTTTATTTTATTGATTCATTTGGACAAAAAGACACTATCGAACCGCCAAACAATTTCAGCAAATCCATTGTTACTGGTAACAATGAAAGATGATGCAAAAATTGAATAAGAGCTGAGCAGCTGAAAGTACGCAGCCAATCAGAACTCGTGATTGCTGATATCTACTGGTAGGCTGGTGAATAACAAGTAAACTAGCGTCATTCAAAAGCCACGCCTTGTAATTAGACTTTAAACCTCACATTAAAATTACCCACAAATTCAAGCGCACGCCAGACAGGAATAGCGTTCAGGGAGATTATCTTTACGCAAAACAATAAACAGAAAAATGGTATCGAAGTAAATGTGTTCGTAACTTGAAAGAAACCGGGAACAGGAAAACTTCGAATGGGATCCCACATCTCTCCCTAATGGCTGGAACAATCACAATTTTCGTCGCTGCTTTGGCTGTCGGACTAATTGGGGCATTAGCGCTTCTTCAAGCGTATTTTATTGGACAGTGTTTCAGGGCAGGACAGCCGCAAGAAAATGGATACATTAACAACGATTGTCTTTAGCGGGCTTCCTAAACTGAAAAAATCGAATTACAGGCTTTCGATTGAGAACTCTAAGGCACCTGCTACTCACGAAAACTTCACTGTAAAAAATTGCTTGACTTGGGCCTTGTTTCTGCCATCGAGAGAACTACATGCATTGTTGTTATTTATGAAGGCTGATATTTTATCGACTTCATAAACAGCAATTTCAACAAGAAGCTTTTTTCAAAAATGGATCCATATTAAAGGTTATGACGATGAGTAAGCACGCAAAGAGACGTTGATAACTGTGTAGTATGAACAAGAGAACTAAACTTCTAAACTTGATTGTGCGGCTGTTACTACCCAAGGCGAAAGTTGAAGTAAACGGTGGCCGAATATCTGGACCGTGGAATTCAGTTATTAACGGCAAACAGGGATGTACAAAACTTCTTTTATGGTCAATAAACAAAATTAAGTTAACCTTTTTAAAGATACGATGTACTGGTTTTAGCCCTGAAAGAAAATTATTACCTGCGAGCAAGTTATGTATTTGGAAATCGCTCGCTGGCTTCTCGCGTTCCACCCGTTGTCCTCGCGGTTCACTTCAAAAAGAAAGCTTACTTAACGAACGTAGGCTAGGCTGCTTAATAAAATAGGAAACGAGGAAGTTGATTTTAAATTGTGCACTGCAAAAAAGACTAAGAAGCTGCCGGGCGTCCACTAGTCCTCCCTTCTTATAGTTCGCTGGGACAAGAGTTAACTGAGCATTGTGCAACTGAGATGTCAACATCTCAGAGCTTTAAGGGTGGTCAACTCAATTGAAAGAATCAGTTACGTTTTCGCCTTGAAATAGTCCGCAGTTTCATCACTCCAAAGGGTTCTAAAACACAGGCCAAAGATTAGCATTAATGGTTTGGAATCTGCCTAAAAATCCGGTTAAATGCAGCTCTCTTGATTCCCAGTCATTCGTTTTTTCTAGTTCCGGAGTTGGAGTAGTGGAGTTTATGGTTATTTTCGGTTTTTCGTTTGTTTTGTTTTTTTTTTTGAGGATAAAGATCAAGTGTGTTTCGGAGGTTTTACGTGTTGTTTCGCTTTGTTAGTTTAAACTGAAGTTTTGAGGTTGGGTTTGTTTTCTTCTAGGTAAAATCTCCAGTTTACGGGTGGCAAAACCAAATATGAATACATTTATAACATTTCTACTAAATCTCGTTCTTCAGTCGCCTCCGTTTCTGAAAAGAAAGGATTTCACTAGCTAAGCCTTGTCCTAAAAGTTATTTAAGACACAAAATTTCTAAAGAATAAAATGAAATAACAGCAAGCTGTTTTATTTAGTGAAAATGAATCTGGTTTTAATGAAAAGTTACTTTGCTTTCAGTCTCTACGCAAAGCAGAAAATAGTCAGTTCCCACGTTATAAGGCGCCTTACTCTTTGGTGCTTTCATTTGTCTCAGGAACAATAGTTTATCATGCAAAAAAAGAACACTCCAAGTTAGTCCCCCGAGATTTGTTACATCCAGTGTCGACATTAGCATCAGTGATGTGTTGCTGGCAGCCTCTGGCAGCCACTTTTTAAAAACTCTATTTTATGCATCAGCCGCATCTCTGGAGCTCGAGGCAGAAAATTACTGCGAGTCATTCATTCGCTTGAAGGATCTCTGTCACGAGTCGCTAATACAATGATTATAGATACATTCGCCGATAAAGATTCCCCACATGCTGGCCACAAGATAAACTATTAGCACTCCCAAGACCAGGGTCACGTGTTCAAACATGGTGTGTGTAATTTAGTGATAAGCGCCTTTACATCCTGAGTTTTGCTGAGGATTATCAGCACTAATGCTAAGAGCTTTTAAAGCGCTTCCATGGCTGTGTGACTGAAGTGGCGTGAACGACTTGTGCCAAAAGCTCAATTTGCCTTGCCCAAGAGATGCCATAGAAGCATAAAAAATTTAAATTAAATTTAAATTGCAGGTCCTTTAATAAATGATGAGCACAACGTTGACAATTGAAAATGAAATTCCGAGGTTTTTAAATGATCTTTTTCATATATTTATAGGACATTGCAGCCAAAAGTGGGAGCCCCAAGCACAAAAAAATGAGTTGTTTAAAACAAAAGTGGGCGAGTCTTTAGATCGGCTTGGAATTTCGGGAGTAAAATTTTCTATTAAAAGGGCAAATTAAATGAAAAAAGAGAAAAAACGTCGCTCAGTTTTGTTAACTATTGATACTGTGTGGGGGGTTTGGCCACCACTCAACAACTCAGTTATGAAAGCCAAATTATTGAGTTTAACTCCACCACCGACGCAACATCATTTTTTTTTTCTTTTTTGAAACCAACCCTTCTTTCTTTTTATGATCAATCCATGGTTAGGTCTAACAGGGTTTCTTGAGCCTCTGTCTGCCTGTCGAAGGCTGGAACGTTTACACCAGTTTGGTACATTAGTTTTTAGGAATGGAGTTCGCGAAATCGGTTCTCAGAACTTTGAATCCTTCTTATACACTAAACGCACTAGGGCAAGGGTATTCCAAATCGAGTATACCCAACTTGTACTATCGTAAAACGTTAAATGCTTCTCTACTACCGACTCAACAGCAATTTTCAATAGCTCTTTGAACGTCGTCTTGAGTTGAGTAACAGTCATATATATTTAATGGAATAACACAGCCTAACTAGGAAAATATCCATTAGCGATAAACTTGGAACTGCTCCTATCATTAAGTGCAGTATGAATAATAAACACTAGACGAGACCAAGAAAATGACGACATTTTGCTCGCGGCAGCTGCGATAAGCGCCAGGTTGTATTTCGATCATTCAAGAATATCTTTCGTCAAACAGTGTCTATCGCCATTTACTTTTTATAGTTTTTTTTTTCTGTTGTCCAATTAAGTAATAACACTGTCCATTCGACGCGTCCTCAGTCGATTTTATTGTTCATCATGACAAACAAAACGAAAGCTCTCCATTCTGTCATTTCTCTTTGTTCCCTTATCACAAGAAAACTTAGGGAAGGAGCAGGGGGGAGACCATTGATATTTTGTCGTGTTAGTAGAAAATGTTTTTGGAAAGCGGTTTAATTTTCTGCCACGCTGTTCTCCTCTACATTAGTGATATACCCTTAAGGAAAAAAAAAAGAAGAAGAAAAAAAAAGGACCTAAAAATTGAAAAAACTGAAGAGAAAAAGTGGAGAAAATAGAACGTAAATGTAATAGGATATTTACATAGTAATGTCACATGACTCGTATGAAATTACCAGAACCCCTTACGGTTTTTCTTTATTTGTGTTAATACGGAATATTACTTTGACCTCACTGAGGCTACTACACGTATTAAAAAACACAATCAATTCTGCTGGTTATATTGGAATAACGAAAAAGTGGTCACTGCAGTCAGAATAGGAATCAAAATCAACGGGGACTTTTGAATAATACTGAACTTCACTGGCATTTAAGGATTTGAATTAAAGTGGCTGTCATCCTAGTAGTGTAGTTCGCAAAAAAGCGCATTTCAATTGTTCTTGGTCGTGGACAATTGAACGTCAACTAACCACAATGGCACCTGGTGATATCTGAACAACTGGTTGATAATTACTTCACCTCCAGCACGACATATCGTTATCCAAGCTGTCATTGACTTGAATGATCAGTTCGCACGTATCACAAAAAAAAATAACGAGTTTGATGCTGTTATGCTAATAAACCTCTACGGGTATAAATTAAAAAGTACTGCGAGAGCAAGAAAAAGACAAAATATAGCTCGCGGCTGCTGCGATAAGCGTTAGGAAATATTATGATCATCCAAGAATTGTTTTTCATCATACAGACTGTGTCCATAGTAGCTATCTACCTTTTGTGGATTTTTTGTTGTCCCTTCACGTTATAACGTCTATCTTCAAGGTGAGCGTGTAGAATCAGGAACTATCACTGTACGGGATGCTAAACTGCGTCATTTAACAGAAGTTGTGCACTGTTATGGGATCATGAGATGGAGAATTACATATATAGAGGAGGCAGTGTGTGCGGGCGGATTCAATGCTTCACATGTGGTAACTACAGTATAACTTTGATCCCAGTTGGTGATTATGATAGCGAATTCGGTTCTTTTTTTCAGTGGAAAACAAAAAGAGATGAGGGAAATCTCCGCAACAGTAAACAGGATTAGGAACTCAGCCCTTGCTATCTTGAAGATTTTACTGATCTGGCGTCACTTCTTCAAAAGGTGGATAAGGCTATCTATTGGGTAAATCTTTATCTACTGGACAGCGCAATTGTTTTCCCTAATACCTAGCGTTTCCAGCTTTCACAACAACCGGGGCCTGAATTACCAGCAACTGGGCTAACGGTCGGGGTGCATCAACAACTTCAACTTGACCTTAGACTTTGAACAACTACGTATTGCAGGATGGAAAATACTGCTGACACCATATACGAAATAATAAACACAAAGGCACAAGGATTACCAATGAATAATAGGAAGCTTAAGCAACGGCGAGGGCGACGGCAACGAGAACGGCAAAAAAGCAATAGGTTGAGATCGGCAAAACAACAACTTTGCACGTGCATCATGCTTTTTTTGTACATTTCTTTGCCGTCGTTGCACGACTGCAACGTGAAAATGCCTAAATTCACGTTTTGTCGAGGACGGGAACACAAGACAACTTTCTTTTTGTTTTCCTGAACTTTGATACAGTCTTAGAATTCAACTCAAAAAAACATTTGCCAACATTTGACGAAGTAAACGAGATGGAATAAGCGCGATGAAGTTTGAAGCAGCGCCGGCGAATTCACTTTTTAAGTGATGACGTTTTCGTAGCCGTCGAGGTTGCTTAAGCTCCCTAATATAAAGGCTTTACCAACTTAATCCCAAGCGCACCTGAAGAGAAGTCGAAGATGTCAATTTGCAAGATAATTAAGCATTAATAGTATCATGTGAAAGTACTTCTGAAAAAGTTTTGTTTGAATGATTACACCATGGGAAACGATTCACAAATTTAAAAATGTATGACATATCTTCAGAGTTGACCGTCATGCTAAAAGGCTTTTTAAAAACGCTTCAGTTTGAGATCGAAACTCCATCAAACTGCTTCTGTCCTGATTGCGACGTGCTACGACAAACAAATATCTTTTATCGCAACCATTTGAAACGTTATCACTTCAGAAAGGAGAAAGATAAAAAATAACTATTTTCTTGTACCTGAACAAAGGGGGTTTCAAGATTACCCTAACAGTCAAGAAAATATTGCGAAAACATAAGTGCAATATACTCGAACCAAATGTTTCCTCAAGCGCGACAATTAAAAGCCAACCGTTTGAATTTAATTTTTTTAAATACGACTGCAAGACCGCTCCGCTTCTGCCTCACACATTGTTTTGTCTAAAGTTTGTATATATTGTCAGGGTTAAACTTGCGGCTCTTAAGACATAGCAAAGTAGAAATTAAATATTTAAGCGACTGAAACAGGTTTTTCGCGCACACACAGCTTTTGTGAAAGGCAATAATACAGTACAGGTTCTACATAAAGAAGGCAACGAACCATTCGAATTCTATAACAAGTAACACGTGCATAATGATATCTTCAAATTAATAATTTTTCTGGTCTCTGGTGTGGTTCGAGTCTTTGGGTGAAACTCATTCAAATGAGAGATAAATAATAATACTGGTACATGTACATTCTTGACAGCTTGACGTTTAGATAAGGCACTTCTTTTTCGGTGATGGCATGCAGGTGCTTTAGCAGCCTGTGCACAGGCTCTCTGTTTGGGGAAACGGTGGAAAAATCCCGAGGAAAAGGAAGGAAAAGGGTTAGGCTAGTGCTTTAGCCAGTGTACACCCCCCGCCCCCCCCCCCCCACCCCCCTTATAAAAGGAAAAAGGGGGGAGAGTCTGTAAATAAACTGCACAGAAAATTTAAACTCATTCAGGAGTTCAAACTAACAGCAAGATTCTTGCACAAGATGTTCACTTGCAGTTTATTCCTTTCTGCTATAATTATCATCTATTTTTTTTGGCTAAGTCGGAACAACGATGGCGTTACAGAGGAGACTACAACAGTGGTCTGTCGCTCATTCGGCTTTGTTGCGAGGAAATCAGGAAAAGTTAAAAATAAAAATAAACAGAAAAATTAGATAGTTTAAGCTATATAATAACTACTTGTCATTCACAGAAACTGAGCCTACATGGCCGGTGCATCTGCTTATTCTGAGTTGTGGCTTTTGTAAAGGCGCTTTTTTTTGGGGGGGTGGGTGGGGGGGGTTTTGCAGGCTGGGGCCGGGGTGTTTTGTTTGGGGGAAGGGGGAAAAAACCCCGGGGAAAAGGAGGAAAAGGGGGTGGGTGGGGGTTTTTGCCGGGTACCCCCCGCCCCCCCCCCCCCCCCCCCCCCTTATAAAAGGAAAAATGGGGGAGAGTCTGTAAATAAACTGCACAGAAAATTTAAACTCATTCAGGAGTTCAAACTAACAGCAAGATTCTTGCTCAAGATGTTCACTTGCAGTTTATTCCTTTCTGCTATAATTATCATCTATTTTTTTTTGGCTAAGTCGGAACAACGATGGCGTTACAGAGGAGACTACAACAGTGGTCTGTCACTCATTCGGCTTTGTTGCGAGGAAATCAGAAGAAGTTAAAAATAAAAATAAACAGAAAAATTAGATAGTTTAAGCTATATAATAACTACTTGTCATTCACAGAAACTGAGCCTACATGGCCGGTGCATCTGCTTATTCAAAATAAATATCTCTGACTTGGATGGAATTTATGGGTAGTGTCACAGGTCACTCAACTTGGCAACCCTCATGGAGTTAGTTAAGGTTTTTTTTTCAAAGGGCATGTTTCAATGCTTGAAGAATCCAGAAGGGTCATATGCGTCCCAAGGACCCTAAAAAAATAAATAAGATGGGATTACAAACATATATTGATTAATTTTGAGGATTGAAGGAGGTAACGAGCTCAAAGTCGAATGACATTATAATGATTGTGTGCGGTCGAATCTGACTTGTTGTTGGTTCTCTCCCTTGCTTCGAGAGGTTTTTCTCCAGGTACTCCGGTTTTCCCCTCACCTCAAAAACTAACATTTTCTCAAATTCCAATTCCATCTGGAACACACGGACACGTTTCAGCGAGTTCTCAAGAACTCCTAAGTGCTTCGAGGGTAAAAAAAATTACATTTTTTTCAAGACTTGTTGGAACACTTTCAATGTTTGTTTGGTAAACGTCAAACATTTGTTGACCAACTGTTGATAAAATTCTTAAAAATGAAAATTATTAATGTTGTTTGAAAAGCCGTGCACGGAATGGACGCAGCTTTAAGCCAACAGTGTCAAGATATAAATGCAAATTATAGAACTGGCCAAAAAGATAGCTTCTGTTTAGGGCGTGCATTTGTTTAATAAATAATAAACTAAATGGCTTCAATACGATACAAATTTCTGTGGAAATCAGTATTAAAATTTGATTCAACACAACAAGCTTTTGACACATGTAATTCAAACAAAGATTTCTTCTTTTGGAAAAAAGGACGTGTCATGCAAGAACAACGGGACAAAGCTAATCAATAGACCAATTCCAAATAAAACAAAGACTGAAATCATCTTGATGGCTCAGTAATGAATACAACATTTCTTTTCTTCTATTTCCCCAAGCCTCGGAGCCAAGCATGAATTTTAACACATCGAAATTGTTGAGAAAGTTGTCTTGGGCCTTGCCTACACTACGCCAGGTACACTTGACAACACAACTCCATTCTTACGGCGAGGCCCACCGTCCACCTTAATCTGGAAACGGAACTTTTTGAATACGCTGTTCAAAGTGGATAAAATTGAAACGCCGTTTGCATTTCAGTGTGGATGGAAAACATTTTAAAAAGAGCGTTTCGAAAACGCTGACGTCACGATAACCATGTGATTTCTCTGGCCACATTTTGTTTTCCCATTTACCCGGATTAGTGTAGGAGGGAAAAAAGTAAGGAATTAATAATAAAAATCTTTATTGACCAACTAGAGAGTGACACCGGTCTCTCGAGGCAGGATCTTACATCTGTCATGGCCAACAGGCGGGAATAGGACAGACTTATAAAATCAGTGCGGGTGCGCCCGAAATAGATAGATAGAAGGCATAAATCCACTTTATAGCTATTGTTCCTAGAGGAGCTCTGTCAAAATATTTTGAGTCATTACTTGCAACGTATAAAATTATCTTGAGACTGATTCAAGGAAAATTCAAAAGATGTTTTAAAGGAGGTCAAAATAAAGACTAAAGGATAAATTGCAATAGAGGAGACATACATCGGTTGCAGAAACCGTAGCGTACCCCTTTATTAGCATCACTAGGCACATTAACTTACTTCATAGCCTGCTTTGTCGATATTCAGCCTCTTTTCGATGTTACGTGCCAGCTCTTGCGTGCGAGACATGATGCCCTTGGTTTTCTCAATCACTTGTTGGTACACAGAGGGAGCCTGTGTCCCCATGACCACGTGACCCTGAGGACAACAAGAAGGAGAATCCTGATTATCACGTGTTATATGGAGCGGTTTTCAAACGACTTCGGTAAAACCAAAATCGACATAGTTATTCAGCCAATCACAGGAGACGCTGACCGACAAATAAACCAATACATAACCGTAGCAACTTGTTACCCAATTCTAGGGCGGTGAAAACGACTGCGAGGTTGCAAGAAGTTTTGGTTTCACTTTCGATGAGTTATCTTAAGAATCTGGCGCGAGATATTTTTGCAAGCCACTCAGCACAACAAGGTGACTCGCCCTTTCAGGACTCCACCCCAAGGACAAAGACAGCGCTGGGAAGAGCTACCAAATAGCTTAAAATGTCGATAATATTTTGTTACGACTTCTTTTCAAATAGGGATTTGTTAGGAAAAGCAGAAACAGCCTACAAAGGTGACATTTCACTGTGACTTATAACAAATGATCCCAAAATCATTGGAAAGGCAACAACCAGTTTCGCTACTTCCTGGTTTGCAACTCATTCGCTACACATTACTTTCAATAAACCATTCAAAATAATTCCTTTATTCCACTAGGAAAATTTTTTTTATATTTCTCGTTCTTTTTAAGCCTGCCTCTCCGAAAGTGAAAGTTTTGGACTTTGTCGCCATAAGGCAGCGAGCCTAGTGTGTAGGGGAAACCGGTCGTTTCGATACGAACTCAAGCAGTGAAACTGCCCAAAAATTTCGATTACTTCAAGTAAAGTTTGCAATTGAACAAGAAAATCATTTTGGATGAATATTCTTCGTTCTTTAAGCCAAGTACGTGAAACTATATACACCTCGAAAGAATTAATTTGTATCGAAACAACCGTTAACCGTACAAATGTATGTAGGTAGCGAACTGCAACGTAGCGAATTTGACAAGAAGCGAAACTGGTGAAAATAGAACTGAAGCAAGGCAAATGAGATTCCATTGCAAGGACAAAGTGGCCTTTTATTCTGCGAACAATCTCAGGGCCTTTTCCCCTTTTAGCACCTACGACTTTTCTTTGCCTTTCTTGACACAGAAGGAAATAGGACGCTTTTTGCACGGAGGCAAAACTTTCACTTCGCAAAATAAGCAATTTCAAGCTATTAATTTTGTGATAAGCTACTGTTAAACCTTTACAGCTACCGGCAATATACCACACGAAAAGATAACTTACCAGCTTAGAGTCAATCTTAGCATCTAGTCGGGCATTTCTGATCAGATTAACAATCCACCTCTCAGCTTCCTCAGGAGTCATGTTCAATTTTTCAGCGAGCATGCTGTAAATAACAAAGACAGCTATTTTAGCATATTTAAAAATAGGACGAGCATCATGTTTACTACATTTCAGAGAAGTACATTTTTTGAGCATATGAAAAGAGAGTAAAAAAAGGAAGCTTTTAGCAATAAAAATATTACAAAATAAAATACAAAGCATTTGGGCAGAAAAAAGCCAAGTCAGTGGATGACATACAAACTATTTGCACCCAAGAAACATACAAAACAAAGCATTCTTCTGTGAATGCACTTATGACGGACTGCATTCATGCATCATTGAAAAAGATGCAGTACTTAATTTAACAGTTACCATACCTTATACTGATGCACTGGTGTATTCTACAGAAAGTTTCAAATATAAACAATCTTGCATTCTCAATAAAGTCATCCAAACAAGCCACAAGAAAGAAATCATTCAGAAGAACCTACAAAAGTAAAAAAGATGGTAACATGAAGATATTGGCATTCCGTGCAGAAGTCTACTGAATATTAACGTTAATGCATTGAGCAACACAAGTTTACGTTTCCAAGGCTTGAAGAAAAAAAAAAAAAGACTTGAATTTTAGTTTGGCCTTTGGGCAAGCAGCTCTCACATTTTGCTTGCCAGGGGCCTCTTCTTGCTCGTCGTAGTTAATGATTTAGCTAACCCTTTAGGTCCCAAGAATGACCAACATCAATTTTCTCCTAACAACATCAGCAGATCATGAAGAGTAAAGGTTATGAGAATTACTAAATTGATTACCAAATAGAGAATACTTTGATCTTAAACCAAATTCTCTCAACTATTCTTAAACGAAATGTATGGAGATCAGTCTGGAGAATTTGTATGTGGATCTTGGGGCTTAAAGGGTTACAGGATGACTTGCCTGGACCTTTGCTGGTGGGAAAGAAAGTGAGCTTTAAAAGTAATTTGCCCAGCAAGAAAATCCACTAGTCCTGGACTACCACACAGGACTTTTTTCAGGCCCTGATTTGAGTCCTTTGATGGGTTGTATATGTGGCTCAATTTAATATATGGTTTAAATTATATTTCCCTTTGTTTTAAACTCATTATGATACATTACCATACAACAAAACAAAGGGAAATAAAATTTAAACCAAGCTTAAAATTGAACCACAACATATACATGTAGCCATGAAATTAACTGTGAAAATGAATGAGAAGTGTTAGCCACTGCATACAGCTGGCTCCTATAGCTCCCTGTTGCAGGCGATGCGACACAATGTGATGAGAAAATCTCCCAGTGTCAGGGAGCCACATGTAAGAGAGGTCACTGTATTCACAAGCTAAAAAGAGTGCACAAAAAACCCCAGAAGGTCAAACACAAAGCAACAAATGTAACCAAAAAAACTTACTGTTTCACATTCCCTAAGCTTCTGTTGAGCACCATCAAAATCAAAATTGACATAAAGACATTCCAGGAACTCAGTGATGGGGTCCTTGTATGTGTAAGACTCCTGTTGTATAACTTTCACAAGGTCCTTGAGTACCGTTCGTCGACGTTTGTTGGTGATAACAGCTGTTGTTAAGTACCTCAAGATATGGGGGCAGGTGGTTTGGATCGCATTGAGATACCTACATGTATGAAAATGAGTGGAAAAGAAGAATATAATCAGTTATTGCAGAACATATATATCAGTACATAATGACTCTAAAAAAATCCCTTCATCACACTAAATTCATAATTCAATGTTATCAATATCTCAAGATAAATTCTTGCCTTCCACTGTATCGCCAACCCCTTCATGGGCATGCAAAATCAGAGAGCAACTTTTAGAATATTAATTTTATGGGAACTTTGATCAGAAATATCCCCTTACGCTAACACTTCGAAAAGCTGTTAATAAGGTTGAACACTAATAACTATGAAGTACAATGATCACTTACTGAGGTTGATAAAGAAACAAATCAATGATAAGATCCCTTCCTTTTGGATGATTAAAGAACACAAACAGACTCCAGTGAATCAACCATGTTCTCTCTTGTAACAACTGCAGTGTTCCAGTATTAGTCTGAAGTCAAAAATGATACACACCAATAAAATTAACCAGAAATAATGTGTATTGCAAAACCTTGCAAGGCTTGGGGGTTGGGTGGCGGGTAAAAATGGTTGTTAAAGATGGGAGGGTAGGAGAGAAATACAGTAAATTGTGTAACAGGGAAGGGCAGGTTTTAACAATGGCTCTAATATTGGGAATGACAGGTGAGAAATACTCAATCTCCATTTGGTTGGAGTGAATTCAAACCCATTGCCTTGACTTTATATTCAAATTCCATGACATCTTGCAGTTCTTCATGACTTTAGATTTAGCTGTCACTTTCCAAAGTTTTTAACCCTTTTTTTGTGTTAGGGTATTTTTGACCAAATTCAGTTCAACAGACACAAATGCTGGAGTCCACCAAAATGCACCATATTCACACTATTTACAAGTTTTGTCTCTGTCTTAATTTGTCCTAACTTTGACACCTGCAGTAACTAATCTACCAAACAGAAACTTAAATTTCCATGAGTTTCCATGACCAAACATCATTCCTGGCATGGAAAATGAAATTCTTAAACTTCATGACTTTCCAGCTTTTCCATGACCCATATGAACCCTGTTAAACTTGAAGTAACTTAGAGGCAGATAAGGGACACTTCCAGGTCTACACATTAACTAATAATTTTCAAATGGTTTTGAACAGGGCAGTACACTGTCAATCACATATGTCATGGCATGTAATTACTCCAAGTGTCAGCCAATATTATTATGACTTAAAATTGCCCATATTATGTTGAATTTACCTCCTGCAAAGGGTAACCAATTAAAATAAGATTTATTGTGTGATTACTAAATAAATAACACAATCTACTATCAAGCACCAGTTATTTAAAGGGGAGATAATGCTATCCACTGGAAAAATTATTGGTTTTCATATTGAAAAGATAGAAATGAAAAAAAGAAGTTAATAAGGTATCACTTACATTACTCTCAATGACATCCTTGAGTCTGTTTAGATCTTCTAGCGCAGTTTCCCAATTCTGCATAAGGATTTCTGAGCCCAATTTGCCCCAAAGAGCATTTAATGTATTTCTATCATCATTACCAGTGGCCTGAAGTAAAAAATATGAACATTAATTATTGATTTCAAATTTTGTTTTGAAATCATGGTCAGGTCATAAAAAGCTGTGATGATGCTCTTTCACAAGCAGAGCACTGAGAAAGTTCAAAGCTGTGTCCTTTATGAACTGTCTTTATCAGCTGTGTCCGACATGTACCACCGATCATGAAAGTACGAGTCCATATTGACATTGTCTGTTATAATAATTATTATTATCTACAGTCATGGGAGAGCAATGCAATATTCCTTTTTTTTTGTCATTCTGGGTTCCCTCATAAAACTGTGCATCCTTTTTGAAATTAATTTTTCTTGCAGTTCTCCCTCCCCCCACCCTATACAAAGTTGAAACTTGGAAAAAATTCTGGATACACATGCCCAACATTGTTTGTGGGGTGAGGGGAAGGGTAGGGCCTGTGTGAATTGGAAATGCCCAGAAATGCAAAAGTGTCCCAAGACTTTTGTCCATGATTGTAGTAGGGAGGTAAGAAAATTATTAGTGCTCAGTGAAACAGCTTTAACAGGCTTTACAAGTTAGATCAGCCAATAAAAAATTTCCTGAATCCACCCTTGAGAGCTTCTGCTTTTGATAACTATATGAATTGATGAGAAGACATCAGACAATGCAAAAGTAAATAGAATAAAAACAGAAACTAGGAACTCACAAGCACACGATAGAAGTACAGATACTCAGCAGCACCAGAATAGTTTCCACACTCATACTGAAATTTTGCATATTTATACAACGTGTCCAACATTTCTGGCTTAATCTGCAAATAGCAAACACAATAAAAATTCAGAATTTCATAAAACTTGATTCATATAAATTATCTTGTATGTGGTGTGGTTCAATTTTATCCTTAGTTTAAATTTTATTTTCCTTTGTTTTTGGGTATGGTAATGTATGATAATGTATGATAGGGATTTTGAAACAGAAGAAAATAAAATTTAAACCAAGGATAAAAATGAACCACAACATAAGCATTTAAATCCAGGCTGACATTAGTAACAGCTATTGTTACTGATATACTACACTATGAGATACATCTGATAGCCTCAGGAAAATCTTTCTCTCTGAATATTTGACTTTATCCTTTTCTTAAATAATGGACAAGATGTATATAAATATTATGGGATATTCTAATCTTCTAAAATTAATGAAATGTAGGGAAAGTTACATTTAATACAGATCATTTAGATAGAAATGTCAATAAAGCATCAGTAAATCAAAGGCAAAGCATGTCTACTAATAAAGGGGTAAGGTTGAAACTGGATTTTTTGGGCACCCTGTTCAGTGTTTACATATTTGACATAAAAAAAATATGAACTTACCCCATGGTTTTTTTCAAGGTATTCGAAGAGTGATCTCCCATCCCTTCAAAGCAAAGAATGAACAAGGTTAAAAACATCCATGAAATTAAATTTTCTGATTTCAAGTTATAAGAAAACTCAAGTCATCAAGTAACTAAATAATCTTTTAACCTTGTTGTCTGTATCTGATTGTTGAACTCTGGATCTTCAAAACATTTGACAATAGGTTCAGTCTGAGCCTGAAGATACTTTAACTGTGTGACAACTTCTGTTCTTTTTTGTACAAGATCTAAAGAGACAAAAACAACAAAAAATCATTATATTATTTCATTTAAGGATCAGTTAAATCTGGGAAGGTGTGGTGATGTGCAAAGTAGAGTATTTCTTATTGTGTGGTGGATGGGACTGTTGAAAAATGTTAATACAGTCAAAGCTCTCACAAGCAGCCACCACAGAAAAGTTCTGTAGTTGGTCATCTACAAGAATGGGCTCTTGTAAGCAACCATGTGATACACCTACATGTATTAAGATTGGTCACTTATGATAGTATTAAGCAAATAGCTTGGTATATGTTAATCATTACGCATGGCACTTCACTAAAAAATTATATTGAAAAGATTTTTTTATCAGTTATCTGTTACTATGTTTAATTGGCATATGTTCAAGTCAACAAACCACTAGTTTCTATGCTCTGTATTCTAAATTTAATCAAGAAGTAAAATTAATGTTCAACTGTTGATTAAATGGTCCCTTATGACTACTTCAAAACAGAGGAAAAGACCCCCCAAGTATTTGATGAAAGTGGTCACCATGGATTATAAAGGCTTTTCATCACAGACTTAAACTCAAAATTCAAACTTAAATCATGGTCAAAATTCCTTGAAACACTTCTAGAACACACAAGAGAGTTGACTGTGTTGTATAGGCACATGTAGGGCTCTCCTCTCTTCCCCTCACTGTTTGTTTGACAGTTTTGCTTGGACTTATACCTCATAAACATCAACAAAAGAAGGCCAAAAATCTGCAAGTGTTTCAACAATGATGACAAGGGTTGTAGGTTTCACACTGCGGGTTGTAACTACTAAGGGCTAGTTGCAAGTGGCTAAGACAGCTTTGACTGTATTTAACTGATAAACTACCCAATGCTCTCCATATTCTTTTTACAGCATACACTGTTTATTCAATGTACATAATACATTATTTTATCAAACAAGACTGTTTAACTCATTTTCTCCTTGAAATGTTAACAAAAAACGTCTTTTGAAGCCAGTAGTTAAGGTGTTTTCTGGTCAGTATCTGGCCAAAATAAACTATAGGTTAAGCACTTCTGTTTCTGATGCTTAATTATAATATCAGCTTGTTGTTGTTGTGGAAACTTTTGTTGGTAACCTATTATTGTGCTGTGATATGGGTGACAGTGCCTTTTTGGTATTTTGTATCAAGTAATAGGCTATCCTCCATAGTCCCTGCCAGGAAGCTAACACAGAAGAGTAATAAACAAACCTTCTGGAACATCCTGGTCTGGATATAGATTTTTAAAAACATCCATTGCAAAATCAACCTATAAAATAAGCAATAACAGACTTATATAACAGATTGTGAAAGACAACCATACTTTTAATGCATCATAAAAGTAACAACCCCCAGGAGTGTGATACATCACTTCAACCAGCAAATATAGAGTATAAAGAAAGGTCTGCAAACCTCATAACAAAAAGCAGTTTTGGAATATAAGTTTTTTCTTATGAATACAAGTTAACAACATAAAGTTTAAAGAAAAACAAATCTAACAAATTTCTATTGCATTACTGTAAAGGCTTGACTTGTTTATTTCAACTTAATTTATTTCAAGTAAACATATATTGTAAGAAAGTAAATGAGAACCTACATGTATCTGTAAGAAGAAACATAAATCACAGTGCAGTTACTATCATAAGTCTAGTTTCCTTAAATTCTACTTCTTTAGCTTAAATTCAATGATTTTGTTCCTACCCAGGGGAGAGTTGGGGGTACACATTTAAGCGGGGAGGCACTTGCTTTATTAATTATTATTATTTTTTCATCCTCCAGGGGAGCTAATTGAATAGGGCAGATATTTGAAGGAGAGGACAAATTCAAGCATCTACAATAGGTGCAATCCTCTGACCACTTTCCCCTCCCACCCCCTCTCTCTTCTTACATTCCCTACAGCCAACCTTGGTTAATTCTTCTGATATAAAGTGTGGACACTCATAAAATTGTTATCATATATGGAGTACGGAATAAAACTGGCCAAATTCTTTGGCTTTTGTTCCAAGGGGATCATTGCTCTAAAATGTTTAATATGCCAAAAAAATTATGCTGTAGGTTCAACAACAAAGAATGAATCAAGTGCAATACTGGTCATTTCTTGATGCATCTTTTAGCCAAGAACAGTGAATATCAAGTTGGGACATTGCTTAGCATTTTTTTGATTTTAGCCAATATACTGTAGATTCAAGCGAGATTAATACAGAAAATAACTAAATAAGATTATTGTTTTTTCTGGTTTTACATTCTACATTTGGTGTATATGTTGTGGTTGAATTTTATCCTTGGTTTAAATTTTGTTTTCCTTTGTTTCAAACTCATTATCTTACATTAACATACCCCAAAACAAAGAAAATAAAATCCAAACCAAGGAAAAAAGGAAAAAATTGAACCACAACAAAATTCATCATGTTGTTGCATAATTTTAAATTATTATTTTAATCCTCATTTTGCTCATGCATTCAGTTAGTTTTTTCCTCTATAAAGCAACGGTCCCTAAAAGAAATGAAAGTCTATTCTTTAGGTAAGCTTTTAAGAATGAAGAAGTGTGAGATTCTTTGAGGTTAAACTCCTACACTATGAACGGAGTTTTTAATTTTTTTTGGTATTTAGAAGTGCATTGCATGTACCTCTAAATAAGATTCACCAGAGACAAAATCATACTTTCTAAAATAACTTATGGAGGTCTTTAGGGGTAAATACAATCATGCGGGATTCTTTAAAAGGAAAAAGGAAAAAAAAAATGCCTTTTCAGGGGAGTGTGGATTTTTCATCTACGTCAGTCAGACAGGGCCGAAATTAGTTAAAAAGCCAAAGACAGTCTTCAACTTATACGTTACCATGTTTGTGTTGCTAAGAAGGTCGAGCTTCCCTTTAAGTAATTCTTTTTCATCATATATCTAGAAATAAAGACGAACAAAGGCAAAAAATTGTTACTTATTAATTTAAAAAAGTGTACGGCCAATCTACAAATTGAAAGTGGATCATCCTTGGTATCTAGTTTTATTTCACGTGACTTTGCCCGGTAAATTATACTCGGAAAATCCTAAAAAAGGGAAAGCAGTAATTCAAGAAAGTATTTACCTCCTTGACAGAGAGAAATTCCAACAAGGGAAACACTAGATGCCGGTCCAAAAAGCAGCCCATTCGAGCGGTGAGGTCGTGTTCCGCCATTTTGAAAACGTGGTGGAGAGCTGGAGAAGAGACTGGATACGAGATGTTTTATGCAGTCGTTCCCAGATCCTCGCCGTCTCGAACAAAAATTGATCTCTGCAGATCTGTCAAAAACATATGATACGATTGTAACTCGTTCCAAGTCACCTTCTTAGGCTGAGGGAATTTATTAAAAAATTAAAGCTCATTCGAAGGAAGTCACCCTCGTGATGAAGGGTACGGGGATAATCTCCCTTTAATCGCTCAGGGGTGCAAACAGCAGATTTTGGTATCAATCGCCAGGATATTCAGGACGGAACACCAATATTCTAACTCATACGGGTTTCGTTTAGGGCTATGCATGCAAAAATAAAGAAAGCAAAACATAAGGAAAAAAAAAAAAGAAAACACCTTGGTTACAAAGCGTAAGATCCTGTAATGCGGTAGCACAACGGCTTTGTCTCATAATACTGGAAAGCTGAGAACCGTCGGCGTACACAATTGCATTTAAAGCAAGAGCCATTATTGCATATTCCAATGGAGAAATATCGAGAGAAAATAACACCGGTCCTAAAACAGAACCTCGAGGGACTCCACACGACGAGACTGGGAAGAAAACGTGTCCAACACTATGCGTTGAGGATGGTCAACAAGATAAGAAGTGAACTACTGAAGAGCTAGGTTGGAAAAACGATAACGAAATCGTAATCTCTCAAGAAGGATCTCGTGATCGATTGTGTCGAAGGCGGCGGAAAGGTCGTAATGCAGGTCTTGGTTCATCGAAATCTTGCAGTTTTAGAGGGGGTGAGGATGAACAATTTTGCCTACTGCCCAGCTAGACTAAGAAGAGTTCCCACGTGGGTTTCCCAGAGGCGTCGGATCGTGCGCAGCCATACAAAGAACCGAAGTTCTGGGGGAGAGAATGCAGTTTCTCGAGAAAACGCGGCCTAACAACGACCACCATCTTTAAAAACTGCGAAATCTTTCGTATTATAAACTAAAGGAGAAAGAATTTAACTTTCAAGACGAAGTGCTAAAAGAAATTAACAGCCATGGACTTTCTACGTAACATTTATTGCAAAGCGAAAAAATGTTGAAACAAACAAATAAATAACTCATGTAAATTAATGAAGAAAGGCAAATAAAGTAATATTGGCAATCGAACGTCATCTAGCGTAATTGAATGTATCCCATTAATTTTCTTGTCTCTGCGTTCAATTTATGACTTTATTGACAGGATTAAAGCAAAAAATAAAAATAACTACTCAGAGGTCCCGAGCGTTTAACAAATTCATTGTAGACTACTTGCTGTCCCTTTTAAGTCAGTCAGTCGAGGACGCGAAGGAAGGGCAGGGGTTAGACCGAGCGAGAACTGGACCTCTCCTTCTCATTCAGCGCATTCAGTTATTTTTTTTAATACAGTAGCCTGCTAGCAAGCTCTCCGGGGCGCTCTGGCTCATTTTTCGCCCCGCCGCCAGAGCGATCCCTAGAGCTTGCTTACAGGCTATTTATATACAGAGAAATGGGCGACAACTTTCCGTCTAATGGAAAAGAACATTTTTCATCAAGAAAATCTAAGAAAAACAGTGTTTAGCTAGCCCTTTACTTTTCTTTAATAGGGAAATAGGTGAGAATTTTACACCAAGTAGAACAGTATAAAGAGCGACATGTTTTGGAAATCAAGGAGTATAGCTCCTTTGGAGCGAGGCAAAGTGATATTCTGTTCATGCTGATAAAAACAATAAGAAGAAAATACCGCTATAAAGCTATTCCTTTTATCCGACGAATTTCCGGTGGAAAAGAACGTTTCATAGCATTTCCAATTGTAATCTTATCTAAGATTGGTTTGTTACCAAAAGGAAAGAAAAATCTTATCATCGATTGCAGAAACTGGACCAGTCATCTTGTTGTTTTAAAACTAACGGTACATGTCCAACTTGGTAAGAAATGTTTTCGGGCCAAGAGCTACTAAATAGACAATAAAATCCTGTCATTTTCCTGTTTAAAACTGATCTAAGTTAAATTATACTTAAGTTCGAAACTTCAAAAGACTCGCACTTGCCCAAATCTATATCCACATTTCAGACATTTCTCAATAAAAGAGAACAAAAAAATGGAAGGACACCAAGAAGATCAAGCAATTGCAGCGAAAAGTCTTTCTAACCACTCCTAAATTTGTGGCTGATAAAGGTTAGTCAGCACTGCAAGCAAATTTTGAAGCAAAGTGCAAAACATCCTAAAGCATGCTTACTCCATCTCAAATGCTTTTTTGCCGTTTTAGCTGCGGTAAAAGCGTATTGTCACCTTGTCTTCGGAGTAACACCACAAGTTAATCGACGAAATTACGAGAACGTTCTCTAAGGTATAAGTAATTTTCATCCTTAAAAGTGATCTGTCACTCATTTCCTGTACGCTATCAAATGACCACTGAGTTGGTTGTAAAATAATTTACAAATATGAGGTTCATTTACTCTGGATTTGGAAATGAAATTTAATCAGGAGTGGCTGGAAAGAGCGTCTAAAAAGAATTTGTTTCGATTCCACAGCTGCAAAAATGAGCATACTCTCACAAACAGATCTCAGTCTAAGTCTGTTATAATTACAACTTGACGGTTTAACCTGCAAGAAAATAAAATTTAAGTGCATATTACTTTTCCATAGGAATAACAAAGGGAATTTTAGGGAATGGATGAATGGATGAATGAATGAATACTTTTTTAATGAGTCAAGTCAGAGAGCGGATGTAGGGGCCGGAAACCCTACACTAATTAGAGACACGTGATAAATTTAAATACACTAAAATACATAAAAATGTTTATGACTTACACGATGGAATAGTAGCCATAACAATAAAATATTTATCAATGGAGTTAAAGAAAGATAGCAAAGATAGGGAACATTCTTTAGCACTAGGGCTAAGAAGAAACTTTTCAAAAGGTTGAGTTTGATCGTCCGGGTGAACGTAGTCCTGAATAGGACTGTTGTTGTTGACAGTGACTGACGTTTCGACAACCTGTGCGGTAGTCATCTTCAGAGTCAAAGTGAGTTGTATCACGTCAGTTGATGGTATTATACTCTGGTTATTGATCTGATTGGTCAATTATGTCGCGATGTTATTGGTCGTCTGTCCGTTAAGCCGTGATGTTATTGGCTATGAAGACTCGTAATCAGTGATTGGTGCGTTTCGATCCGTCTATTGTCACAGTTAAACAGTCGTCTATTGTTAGTCAAATTGTCAGTTCTCCAGTTGTTCTCTCGTAGTTAGTTTTGCTTGATCTCGTCAATAAGTCGTTTGTACGGCGCTCGTAATTAACTGTTGGCTACGATTCAGTGGCGTTTGTTCTAAGTTAGTAAACCAGCTTTCTAAAGTAAGACGTTGATAGTAGTCTGTAGAATACGTTATACATGTCGCAGAGTCCCAGTCAATTTGATGTTTCGTCTTTAAATGGTGCTCAGCAATGTGATTGTTGACGTCACCATTCCTCGTCGCGCGTTTGTGTTCGGTCAGTCGCGTGCTTAGGTTTCTGCCGGTTTCACCAGATGTGCGCTTGGTTTCCCTTTATCACGAGCCATAGTAATGCAACTGTACTAGAATCACTGTTAACGGTTATTGACCAGGACATACCATTGAGTGGCAAAATAATAACTATCTTCCCTCAAAAAGCCCTTTAAGGGTTGTTCTGAACACTTTTAAAACAACAAGCTCTTAAAGTGGTAAAGAATTGATCTCTAATTCAGTGGTTAAGACCCACGTACCTTTACTTTACAACACAGTTCATAGATTCATTATGGCTTCCTCTCCAATTCTTTTTTACACTGTCCTACTGGTAAACACCTGATCTGTCCTCCCTACGAAGGAACGTTGAAACAGTATTTTATAACGAACACCGAAAGATACACCTACGTCGCGTAAATTCGAAAATTGCTCAGGGCAATTAGGACCCTAACGTGTCTACATGTACCGCATCTCGGTTTCTAGACCCTCTAATGACAACTAAGGCAGCGTTCATACTGGGTACACGGCAACGGTGCCCGAGTAAGGCACTCGCTTGGCACTAATGTGAACACACCCCTCAGTTTTTCAAGTGCCCACGCCCGAATTCGGGCACCAGCACGGTGCCCGAGTACAAGGTCGAGACCTTGTATTCGGGCACTAAAGAGGGCACCTGGTCCCTGTGTGCCCACCGGTTTTGTTAGTTCCTGGCTAATCCATTGCTTCGTGCTCCTTGCTAAGCTTAAATTTCATAATGGCGTCTAATCTACGGTTACAATGCTGTACACAAAGTGTGAACACAACACCATTTTGTGCTGGTACCAAGGCATTAGCGCTCGGGCACCAAGTGTGGACAACCCCTTCACCGGAGTTGTTTCACACCAAATACTAGTTTAAAATTTCAGGCGTGTTCATAAATAGTTTTCTCGTCTGCCTTCTTTTCTTGACCGCAGGAATATGCTGACTCGCGTGCGAACGTATGCCACGAGTAAAAGACGTAAAACAGGAGTATTTAACGGTGCCGGACCCAGACCTTGAGATAAGAGGAGGGGGGGGGGGCGGCCCTCCCGGACCCCTCCCCTGGATCCGCTACTGTTTGATTATATGTGACTTACCCCGATGCAGTTACAGTGAATACAACCATCTCTTTGCCACGAGTCTCCCACGTAACGCGCCGAACCATCAACAAACCCACATCCTCTTCTTCCTTTTCTTCCCATTTTCCCTTTCATTTGGGTAATTTTATTCACCTGTTAAAAATTTCGATTAAAAAAGGGAATGGAAAATTTCAAGGTAACGTGACTATAGATCTATTATTTTTATTCTAATTCTGCTTGCTTGAAAGTTGCTTGTTTACCTGTCACAACAGGAATAGGGGACATGGCAATAAAGCAATCAGGAGCTTTGATCATTTGCATGTTACCACGTGTCAAGGGCGGGAACACTCGTGCGGGCAAGTTATAAATGCATGTGGGACCAATCTAATTCTTTAGTGTCCCCATCTTTGCTGACCAGCAAAGGGGAGAGG